CAGTTTTTCAACGATTTGATTGAGCCAGTGAACGGTTTAATTGGTTCGGTTCCTGATCTAAAAGGAGATTGAGTTGCGGGTCGGATGCACAGGGTCAATGGGTCAGGTTGGGTTGAAACGCAAATCATCTCTTGGGGTAAAATCACGTCGTTTCATGCTTAGCTTTTATTATTATTATTATTATATATTATACAATAAACTTTTTTTTTTCAAAATATTTTCATCTTTTCTTCCAAAGACAGCCTTAAAACGAAAAAAAAAAAAATCTCCCAGTCCAAAACCCGGGAAATGGCCGGCTACCGCCGTCCGCCGTTGTGACGCCGCTGTCCACAGTCGCCTGCTGTCGGTCGCCCGCGCATGTTTAAGCCCAAATTTCACCACCAAGTTCCTTTCAACCTACTCTTTCACACTATCTAATAAGATTTCCCCAAAAATCATTAGACCTCCCTAGATCTAAGCCAGAACCTGCGGATTTCGAAGCCAAAACCACCTTTCTCTGCCTCGCCAAACACCGCAAGCTTCCGCTATGATCTTCCCCCTATCCTAAGCTAGCTCTCCTCTAAAAATCTGGCGTTAAATCTCCTTCAAAGTCTCCAAAACCGAAACCCCTTCTTTTTTAGGAGGGGCTTTTTTCTTTTTGGCTCTTTTATTGTTGCTCCCTGAAAGGGGATGAGGATCCTGTGATTTTGTTGTTTGGCTAGTGGTGTGTTGGGGCATTTGGTCGTCTGGCAAAATGCGTTTGGCTATCGTTCGGTGATGATGGGTTGCCATTGGCAATGCGATAGGGGTGAAGAAGGCTAGATCGTAGTGTTATTGGGGATCGGTTTTTTGTTTACAGGGATCTGGGTTTGTAATTTTTAGGCAGAGTTTCTATTTTTTCTCAGATTTAGCCTACCTTTTGAGTTTTGTGTTTGGGGTTTAATAGGATCGATCTTGAACCAGTCCCAGGATTTGGGGCTTAATTTCAGCTATCATGGCGGCTATCTAAGGGGTAGTGCAGGTTAGGGTGGTAGGGAGGCTGGTGATGGATGGCTGATAGTACGGATAGCCAGTATCTAGGTGGTGTCTTTCACGACATCTGCTACCAATCTAGCAGAACCCATTTTTTTATTTTTATTTTTTAAAAATTTTTAACTTTTCAAATTTTTTTATTTCTTTAATTATTAAAATTTACTTAACGACTTTGGACCTTAAATTGCAAATTGGGCTTAGGGCTTTCAAACCCAACCGACTTGGACGGAATCATAAATCCAGAAAACCAAAAACAAAGTTCAATTGAGTTCAATTAAGAGGTTCGAATCTTCAATTAGCCTATCAAAAAAATTCAAAAAAATTCATAATTAAATCGACTTGAAAATTTGAGTGTAGGCTTGAAAATCGAATTAATTTAGAATACGAAATTAATAATTTAGATAAAATTAAATGTTTATAAAATTCAAATTGATGAATCTTAGAAATTTATTTTTTCGAACAGGATGGCTAATAGAAGGAGTAACAGAAAAAGTTAGTCATAAGACTGTTAAACCAATAGAAATGATGACTTCTGATAATAATTTATATTTTAAAAATGCATGAAGTAGCACTAATAGAAATTTAGTTTTGCCATTAATTTCTTGAATATCAAATCCTTCAATTCTAGGAGACGAGACAGTCAATTTATAGGAACGATCAGTTCAGCAACTTCAACCTATTGATATGAAAAACATATGGATATTAACTTTTTCTGTAAATTCTTTAAGAAGTTCTTTACCATCGAGAACATCTAGAAGAGAAGATATAGATACAGCAATCATCAGTCAAATAAAAATTGGTGCATTTAGTTTGAATCAGTTGGCTGACCTTGTCACCAACTGTAATTCGAAATGGGCGGGTTATGACTGTTGCTGTCTCCACCTAAGAGCCAAGCACTCCCCTTTGGCCTCAGCTTGCGTATTAAATCAAACAAAAAAAAATGGTTAAATGCTAATTTAAGATTTAATGTTCAAGTTTTTTTTTTAATTAAAAACAGTATTTTTAATTTAATTCAATTAAATATTAAAAAATTTTCAAATTAGATCAGATTAAAATTTTTAACGAAGTAGGCATTATAATATAATGAGACTGTGATGCTGAAGAGAGAAAAGGGGTGAAATCGTATTTTTGGTGCAAAAGAACTAAAATAAAAACGATTAAACCAAATTAATTTGAATATGATTTTTTTATCCAAGGCATTTAGAAAAAAATATTGATCAGAAAAAATTATAAAAATACGAAAATTGGTCAAAAAAGTCTTGCTTTGAGCATATCTGTTATTGAATCTCAACACCAAATTCACAAATTCACAAAAAACCCTTTGGACTCATTATGCCATTCACTTTACGACCAATCTTTTTTTTTTTTTTTTTTTGTTAACCTTCAATCAATTAACAATAAATAAAGAAATTTAATTCGAATATAAAGTTATAAAAAATTATATATTTATTAGATAAAAATGAAAGAACTCTATAACCTAACAAATTTAGAAAAAGTAACAAAAAAAATCTAAACTTGAATATAATATTAAGCATTTAATATAAAATTAATTAATAATAAGTTAAAGAGCTTAGTTTAAATATAAAATTATAAAAAATTAAATATTTATTAAATATGAAATAATATTATTTTAATATAAATTAATCCTATAAAATGCGTTTCCAGTTGCTTCTCAAAAGTTCCAAGCAAGCTATTTTTAAAGCATTTATGAGTTTAGTTTCTTAAGCTTAAGCTAGGTTTAAAGTTTTCCCATCATAATAAACCAAAATCAACCTCAAATTACTCAAAATCCAATTATGTTATCGTCACTTTCATATACTTGATTGCAAGACCATCACCTTTACTTTCTCATCTTCGATAAGCGCGCAATAGAAGGCGATGGACAAAAAACAGATTTCAAGAATTAGAGAGAAAATGAAAATGAAAGTAATATAAAAAAAGTTTTTATTTATTTTATTTTATTTTATAAGCCAACATTTTTTATTATCTTTTATTTTATTTTATTTTTTGACATTTGTAATAGTTAAATATGTTTACATGCCTGTAATTTATTTTTGTTACAAAATTTTAATTTGAGTTAATTTGAAATTGATTAATTTTTAATTAAATCAAATTAAAAGTGATACCTCTAATTAAGAAAATTTTGAAAATTAAATACTAAATTAGGTATTTAGCCAAAGAAAATTGCAAACTCCATGATTGGTTCAAGTGATATCTTCAAAGATTTCCCATGATTCTTAGCATTCTTTTAACCTCAAGTAAAATTGAATTGGCTAACACTTTGCTGAAAAATGATCCTATAAAATGGTTATTTCATGTTATTATATGTTAATTTCATTAAAATTATATTATATAATCAAATTATTAAAAAATTAATAATTTATTAGATATTACAAGTGATAATTAAAAAAATACAATTTATTTTTAATAAATTCAAATATAATATGTAATAAATATTTAATTTTTTTAATAATATGATTAAATGATATTATTTAAATAAAATGAGCATATGCCGTCTCATATAATCTTTGTTTAATGTTTCAATGAACGAGGTGTAACTTAGAACAAGATTTTTATACTTGTTAAAAAGACATTAATACGAATAAAGTATAAGCTCAATGATTAAAGGCAATTGAGCTACAACTTTTTGACTCTTGATTTCGTGAATTAATTATAATAATTATCTTAAATATTTTCTAATTACTTTAGGATTGAATTAGTATATGTAATTCATGAGAAAAAAAAAAAAAAAACTTTTTGATGAAACCCGAGTCAAGCTCCGACCCCAAAACCCGAATTGAGCCGAACATCCCGGGTCCGCCGGTTAACACCTTAAAGAATGGGGAAAGAAATTAGTTGGTGAAGATCGATTCGCTCAACGAACGCTTCAACCGGCATAATTTATCGGCCCAAAAAATCAAAAACCCAAACCAAAACCAAAAAAACAAAAACAAAAAACAAAAACAAAAAAAAAGAAAAGAAATTTCCTTTTCTTTTGCTCGTTTTCTTTAGCCCATTTTCTCTAATTTCCTTTTTTGGTTTTCCCCCTCTTTCTCTGGTTTCACCTAGGGTTGGTTCCCCTCAACCTTTATCTCTAATTTTCAATTTTATGCTCAATTGGTGCAAATACTCAATATGAATGGCTGATTGAAGAAGAAAAGAAATAATCTTGAGGGTTTCTTTTAGGGATTTCGAGCTTTGTCCTCAGGTGTTAAGATCTGAGGCTATATCTTTTCTTTCTCTCTTTTCTTTCAAGTGAAAAAAAAAAGAAAAAGAAAATGAGCGCTTCAAGGTTTATAAAGTGCGTGACTGTTGGTGATGGTGCTGTTGGTAAAACTTGTTTGCTGATTTCTTACACCAGCAACACTTTTCCTACGGTAATTCCTTTTCTCTTTCTTTTTTTTTTAAAGCATTTTTGGGTACTTTAATGTTTAGGGTTGAATTGTGCTTGTTTTGTTAGGAGAAATTAGCATATGGTTTTGACATGTGGAAATTTTATGAATTGGTGAAAAGAAATTAGGCATTTTTGTTTGATTTTGAAAGGTGCTATTTTCATGTCTGATTTGGGATTGAATGAAGATTGACTCATTAACCATTGGTTTTTTGTATGCAATGTTTGTGTTGCAAATATTTGTTGAGATAATTTTATTTGTGAATTCAATTTGGGAAAAGCATATTAAATTTTATGCCTTTTTCGAATACTACATTTTGGATCTTTGACAGAACAAGTGGAAGGAAAAGAGAATTTTTGTCTTATGATAATAGCAACTTTAATAAGCAAATAAGAAAATTCTCTCTCTTTACTCTTGTTTCCTAATCTGTTATACGATTTTAATGTTTTAAGTGGCAAACAAGCTTTCAGGCTCTTTTGTGATTCCATCTTTTTATATTTTGTCTTGATACACATCCTAGGAGTTTTGACAGTTGGAAGCTGATACTAAGAATGTGTTTACTCTTTGTCTTACATTTTTCATTGCGGTGAAAAACAGGATTATGTGCCAACTGTTTTTGACAATTTCAGCGCAAATGTTGTTGTCAATTGGAGTACCGTTAATCTGGGGTTGTGGGATACTGCAGGTGCTTTGCACATTGACCTTTTACTTTCTTTTTTTAATCTCATTGTTAGAATCATTGTAGAGATTTCTGTTTTCCTTTGGTGGTTTAAGTTTGTAATTTTGGGCAACAGGACAGGAGGATTATAACAGATTAAGACCTTTAAGTTATCGCGGGGCAGATGTGTTCATATTGGCATTTTCCCTCATCAGCAAGGCCAGTTATGAAAATGTCTCCAAAAAGGTTGGGTGCAGGTTTTTTTTTTTTTTTTTATATAATTTTTTATTTCAAACAAAGAGAAATGCTTTGTACACTGACTTTTAATTTATAGCTTTCTGATAATTATTTTCTTGTCTTGTTTCCAGTGGATTCCAGAGTTAAAACATTATGCCCCTGGTGTTCCAATAGTTCTTGTTGGAACTAAGCTTGGTAAATTAAAGCATTAAGTGTGCTTTTACTGCAAATGTTTTCTTCAAATAGCTACTTTTTCTTCTGAAAATTTCTGTCATGCAATGCTCTCAATCAATCATTGTTTTCTAGTGTGTGCGTTCTAGTGTTCATTGTTTTTGTGTTTTCAAATGAGCCAGATCTTCGGGATGATAAGCAGTTCTTTATTGATCATCCTGGAGCTGTACCCATTTCTACGGCCCAGGTAAAGATTTTTGTATTACTTCATTCTTTTCTTGAATTATTGTTCAGTTATTACTTGTTTTTCCTGTGGCATGGACTTTTATTATTTGCAATTATCTAACCCTTGCCCTTCCTTTCCCCCTTTTTTTTTTTTCGAATCTGTAAGGGAGAGGAGCTGAGTAAGCTGATAGGTTCACCTGCTTATATCGAATGCAGTTCAAAAACGCAAGAGGTATATGTTGTTTTGTAAATATGTTCATATATTTTATATAATGGAATATGCTTTATGTTTTAGGGATTTGTTGACTTCGCTGCAGAATGTGAAGGCAGTTTTTGATGCAGCCATAAGAGTGGTTCTTCAACCGCCGAAGCAGAAGAAAAAGAAGGGCAAAGCACAGAAGGCCTGCTCCATATTGTGATTGGAAAAGAAAATGTAAAAAGATTATGGCCTTCTGTCCTATCCATGGTCCCTTCACCCCTCTCTTTCCCTTACTCTTCTCCTTGCTCTTGAAGATATTAGAAGCCCTGGATTATAGTCTCTCAACTGACAACTCAGGATCTCAATGAAGCATCTGTGGGCTTGGTAGTATTACTTTATTGCAACTGTTGTGATCTCTAATTGTTGAAACTAAGTACGTGGATGCCAGCCTCCTTCCCTTAACTCCAATTTTTATAATTTTATGTGTTAGTGCCCCTGGAACATCCAGTTAGGAAATTGCACGGAAAACCTTAAATTTTATTGCTCTGTATTGTTTTAAAAAGCTTGGTTCGTTTATGGTTTCTTTCTTTTGTGCTTAGTTTCTCGCAACTTGTTTGGTTCTGATAGATCTATGGGTCCTGTCATCCGAATCTAAGATCTGTTTATGCAAATTTATAACCGTTTCTCTTTGTTCATTCACATTATCAGCGCCGCGACCGAGGAGCAGAACAGATATGGTCAAAATTCGTTGTATGAGACGTAGATTAAAAGTTGGGTAAAGCCGGAGAAAAAGAGCTTTTAGAGCTGTCAGTCTAACCAATAAATAGATGCAGCCCATAGGTTTTCCCTTTTGAATTTGAATGTTTCATGCAAGCTATGAGGTGATGTTTATCATAGCGTCAATACTGCCTGGATTTTCTAAATTTTTTCCCAAATAAGAAATAAGAAATATTTTTGCTTTGGACTGTTAATGGCTGGCGTAATGGGACTTCATCAAAGTCCCTCTCTTTTATCCTATTCCTCACCCTTTTCGTGAAAGGCATTTTCCAGTTGCATATGGAATCTATTGATAGGCAAATATAAATTATTTGTCGGACTTTATGGTGCTGAACGAAGGTAATCGCATTTAGTATGTTAGATTAGTTTAGATGCCTCTGCATTTTAAATTTTGAAGTTATTATCAAACTTCTCTATTTCTTCTCAATTTACATTTTATAGCTAAGATAATGAGCATAAGACTTCAAAGAGTTCAAACTTCAAACCAATTTGACTTGATGTTCTAAACATTAAATTATAACTAATTGTTTTGGTACGGCGAAAGTTTTTAATTGGATTTTCAAATGAACCTTAAATCAATAGAGATGGGAAGTTATATTTTACAGTAACTTCATATGAAAGTGAAAACTACAAAACAGGTGGCCAAATGGTAGATTCTCATTTCTCAGTCCACAACTCTTTCTAGGAAGTTATACTCCAGTTTGCATCCACTTCCTCGCCCATGCAATGAAATCACCAAGACCATTCTCTGAAAGTTCATTCCTTCTCACCATATAAGTGAATGTAGTACAGCTTGCAGTGATATCCAGAGATTACGGCCTTAAAAAGACATTCATTCCCTCAGTTGTCTTGAATTTCTAGGTCAAGAAGCTTTTCTTCTGATCAGATATCCCCCTAGCCCTATGGCATCAAAGAGAATTCTCAAGGAGCTCTGGGAATTGCAGAGAGACCCTCAAGTTCATGCAGTGCAGGTACACGTAATAATCAAGCAACAAGAAGAACAAAAACGCACTATATATAGAGTGTAACTTGTTTCAACACTCTCTAAATTTATATTTATGTGGTGAACTTTAGGTCCTGTGGCAGAAGATATGTTCCACTGGAAAGCAACAAGAATCGGGCCAAGTGACAGCCCCTACTGCGGTGGGGTTTTCCTTGTCACCATTCATTTTCCTCCAGACTACCCTTTCAAGCCTCCAAATGTAAATTTAACTCTTAGCATCAGTAGACCCACTTTCTTCACAAGAATGATGTAAGATTTCTGATTCATAATATGCCATCACAATGAATAAAACATGGCAGGTTGCATTTAGGACCAAAGTCTTCCATCCAAACATAAACAGCAACGGGAATATCTGTTTAGATATTCTAAAGGAACAGTGGAATCCCGCACTCACCATTTCAAAGGTGATAATTACTATTAGACCTGAAGCAATAAACACAACAATATAAAAGTAATATATCACAATAAACCCATAATAATGACAATAATCAATAATTAACAATGCAAAAAAAATAAAGTACACTAACATTTACTTAAAAACCCCTCAAGTGTAGAGGAAAAAAATCACGGACCATCAGAAAAATCTCCACTATCAAATAATGGATATATAAAGTTTTTTTCTAACTAAAACTAGAACAAATCAATAACTAGAAAGATAATTGGAGAAATCTCATCAAATATGTGACTTAACAAATACATTATGGATTTGTTCCTAGAGAGCTTCAAATGCGATTTTCATTGTTCAGAATGTAAAACTCTGAATTATAAACATGCTAACAAAATTTTAGCTCAATTGAACCACGGATTAACTTCCGTTTAACCAACTCTCCCTTCTTTCTTTTCTCTCTATTTTTTCTAGCTTTTCTTCTTTCTTTTGGTCTTAACGCCACTATTTGTTTTTCTATTACATAGCCCCCTTTCATTGTTTAAGGCTTTATTTAAGTAAGGCTTTCTTATGTTAAAGAGAAAAAAAGCTTTAGGCCTATTAATTGGCCAAAACTAATGGTGCTGGACCCCACTCTTCTTAACAATCTCCCACTCCAACCCTATTAAGAAGAGATTCATTACTATAGTAATTTTATTTGAAAATTATCTTGGCCAAAGAATCTATTTCGACCAAGTTACTGCAAAGCTCAAGGTTTTTCTTGAGAAGTATCTTAATCAACATATCTACTACATTCTCATCAATATGGACTCTCTTCAACAATATTTGTTATTTCTCAATCATTGAACGAAATCAGTGATATCTAACATCAATGTATTTCATTTTAGCATGGTACATGACATTTTTACCTAAATTTAAAGCACTCTAACTATCACAAAACACCACATACTCTTTCTGATTCAACCCTAATTTTAAAAAAAAGTTTCATCTAAAGCATTTCTTTACATGTTTCGATTGCTGCAATAAACTTAGCCTCTGTAATTGACAAGACAACACACTTTTGTAACTTATACTATAAAAAAATAGCTCATCCTGTAAAAGTGTACAAATACCCTGAAATAAATTTTTCACTATCAAGATCACCTACCATATCAACATCAATAAATTCTTCTAAAACTGGTTGTGAAACTTCATAACTTAAACATATTTTTAAAGTATCCATCAAATATCTAAAAATTTATTTTACTACTTCCCAGTTAACCTTTCCTGGATTAGAAAGAAATTTACTCACTACACCAATTGCATAAGTAATGTGAGGCCGTGTATAAACCATAAGATACATTAAAGAACCGACTGCAGAATAATAAGGAATACTAGACATAGCTAGTTATTTTTTCTTAGTCATCGAATAAGATTTCTTACTTAGATAAAAATGATTGGTAAGTGGATTACTAATTGATTTAGTATATTGCATGTTGAATCTACTAAGCACCCGTTCAACATATTTTTTTTGTGACAACCACAACTTTTCAGCTCTTTTATCTCGGATAATATCCATACCGAGAAACTACTTTGCTGGACCTAAATTTTTCATGTCAAAGGACTTAGACAATTGTTCTTTCAACTTGTAAACCATACCAGTATCTTGTCCCATAATTAAAATATCATCAACATATAATAAGAGAATAATAAAGTTATGATAAGAGAATAATTTGACATACACACAGGGATTTGCTATGTTCTTTTATAGCTATGGCTTATCATAAAAGAATCAAACTTTTTGTACTACTACCGTAGAGCTTGTTTCAAGCCATACATGCTTTTTTTTAATTTACAAATTAAGTGCTCTTTACTTTTCACTTCAAAACCCTTAGGCTGATCTATATAAATGTCTTTTTGTAAGTCACCATGCAAGAATGCAGTCTTAACATCAAGTTACTCAAGCTCAAAATTTAAACTAGCTGCTAATCTCAGTATCACTCGAATGGAACTAATTTTCACATTTGGAGAGAAGATATCATCAAAATTGATACCTGGTTTCTAAAAAAAATTTTTCACAATCAATCAAGCTTTGTACCTCACTAGTTTGTCATCATCATTTTTCAACTTGAACACCCATTTATTTTTCAATGACTTCTTCTTTTTTGAAAGTTTCACAAGATCATATGGACTATTTTTTCATAATGACTCAATCTCTTTTTTCGTTGCTTCTAACTAATGCTCTTTATCTAGAATAGCTTGCATATCTTGAAAGCTATTTGGCTCCCCTTCATTGGTAACTAAAATAAAATTTAAACTTAGATATCTGATAGATGACTTGTGCTTTCTAGTAGATCTTTTAGGTTGGACTTTACACCACTTGATGTCAAAGGTAGCTCTCTCTACTCAAAATTCTTTGGTAGAAATGACTGCACACCTTGCTTAACACTCTCGGTTAGAAATGATTGCTCATCTTGTTCAAAACTGATTGCATTTAGCTTATCATTAACTGTGAATGACTTATTCATATCTCTAAGTTCTATTTTTAACTCATTGCCACCATCTGTGACTTTTTCTTGTAGAACCCTTATTGGTGTTAAAATATCACACTTAACAATAACTCGTGTAGTTTTTTCATTTTTCTCAAGGTTTGTTATGATTTTTTTTTCATGAAAAATCACATCTTTACTTCTGACTATCTTTCTTTTTACTAGATCCTATACCTTGTGGCTAAATTTTTCATCACCATATTTTACAAACACATACGATGTGATTTTACTGTTAAGTTTTGACCTTTGATCTTTTGACATATGCATGAATTCTTTACAATTGAAAACTTTCAAGTGAGGGTGTGAAGTGTTTTTCCCTATCCACACTTTTTCTAAAATGTCAAAGCCTAAAGGAACTGATGGTGATCTGTTAAGCAAATAACAAGCTGTGTTAATTACTTCACCCCAAAATGACTTTGGTAATTTTGTCATACTCAATATACATTTGACTTTTTTCATAATAGTACGATTCATCCTTTCAGTTACATCATTATGCTGAGGTGTTCTAGGTTTTGTCATTTCATGCTTTGAACAATACTTTTCAAAGTCTTTGGATGTGTATTTCTTACTATTATCAGTCCGAATACACTTCAAGGCTAACCCCGTTATCATTTTCACTATGGCATAAAATTTTTGAAAATACTATAATACTTGACTTTTGTTTTTCAATATATACACCAAAGTCTTATGTAAAGCATCATCAATAAAAGTAATAAAATATCTACTATCACCTAATGACTCAATCTCAATAAGACCACATTTGTCAAAATGAATCAATTCTAATTTATTTTCTTTGAGAATTTCTAAGAAAAGAAACTCTATGATACTTACCAAACAAATAATGATTACATGAATCAAGACATACCTTTAGTCAAGAGAATGAGAGACTA